AAATAAATTTTTATGACTCATAATTATGATTAAATATTTTATTATATTCATTTATTTACTGCCACAACTGATGAACTGTAATCTCTCAGTCAGTCTTATCAGTTGAAAAATATTTGCGAGCATTTGAGTGCTCAACGATCATTAGAACGATCAAGTTGAAAATTTCATAGCTCATCACAATGAAGTAAATTTTTTCAATTAAATAATGAAAAAATTATTAATTTTAGTAATTTTAGAAAGAGTTTTCCAATCTTCGTTCTTCTAATGTTTGCTTTTGCGAGAAACACTTGTAGCAATGAATATGTGACATGTGACGCAAGTTATGGAAAGCATGGAAGGACTTGCTTCATTCATCAGGAAATAAGTACAGAAAATGCGACGATATCTGATGATCCCCCCTGTGTAAATGAAAATATTTGTGGATTAATCTCACCACTTCAGTTCAAATCAATCACAAAAATAAGCATTTCAGATAATGAAAAAGTGAAATATCTGCCTGTGAATGTGTCAGAAACATTTCCGAATTTAAAATATTACTCGGCTTCAAATTGTTCAATTACGAAAATATCCAAAATCAATTTTCGAGGATTGAATCTGTTGATATCCTTGAATTTAAATCACAATCAAATTGAGACAATAAATCGAGATGTTTTTTCAGATTTGACTTCATTAACAAGTTTATCTCTTGGTGAGCAATTATTAGAAATTTGAGAATTATTTAAATGCAATTTTAAACTTTTTGTTTATTTCAGCACATAATAAAATCAAATACATTGAACATGGTGCTTTCTTTTGGGTTACCGAGCTGGTAGCTGTAAATCTTTCTTTTAACTTATGCATAAGTGAAGAAACCGTTTTTCAAGACACAAATAATAATGGGAGGGAAATATTTTTGTCAACAGCTTACGAAAAGTGTCGCCGACAACCAGAGAAACAATAAGAAGAAAATTTGTTTTAAAATGATTGCCGAAAACCTTAAAATATTTTTGTTTATAATTTAAAGCTGATAAAAACTCTGATTTTGTATTGGATGTGTCGAAATAAAATACAAAAGTATTTTTCTAAATCAATGGCGAATCTGTCGTTGTGTTAATGACTAAAAAATTCTTCTTTTAATAACTTGGCTCTTATCAGAAAAGAAACATTTAAATATTTGCGATCATTTGAATATTTAGTAGTCTAAAGGACGATCAAGTGAAACGTTTCGTGGCTCATCATGATGAAGTAATTTTCAGTTTTCTTTGAAATAAAATTATAATTTAAATTATTTCAGGAAAATTGCGTTGATCTTCGTTTTTGTAATGTTCATTGGTGAAATAAAAACTTGCAATGGTCAATTATTTTGCAACTCTTTCGGAAAGAACGGAAAAACTTGCAACATTAATGCGAATATCACTAAAGAAGATATGACAATGTCTGGAACTCCTTGCAGCTCCACGCGTGCTTGTCCAATCTCACCTGCTCAATACAAAGAGATTAACAGCATAATCATTAATGAGAATAAAAATGTGAAATATTTGCATTAAAGTTATTTCAGGAAACACACATTAATGCTCGCTTTTTTCTTGATTTCCTTTGCGAGCAACGCTGGTGGTAGTCAAGTGAGCTGTGACGATGATTATGGAGCAAATAAAAAGACTTGCCATATTTATCATGACATTGATGACCCAGAAATCACTTTAGCGCCACCTTCAAACGTTTCAATCAATTTTCTATCAATTCGTGACAATAAAGAAGTGAAATATTTACCTGTGAACGTGTCAGAAAGTTTGCCTGATTTGGTTTATTACGATGCTATAAATTGTTCCATCACAAATATTTATAGAAAGAATGTTCAAGGATTAACATTTCTGAAGACATTAAATTTAAGATATAATGAAATTGAAACAGTAAAACGAGACGTCTTTTCAGATTTGACATCCCTGCTTGCTTTGTCTCTTTGTGAGTGTTTATGAGAAGTTTATGAAAATATTTTTTCTTATTTAAAAATGCTTTTCATTTAAAGCTGACAATAAAGTTAAGCATATTGAAGACGGCGCTTTCTATGGACTAACAATGCTGGTGGGTATAAACCTCGTCAACAATGTGTGCGTAAATGAACTAATTATCAGTCCAGAACTGAATCAAACTGAAATTGAAATTTTAGTTTCAAGACTTTATATTCAATGTCAGTTGCAAGAAAATTCGCAATCATGGCAGTAATAAAATAACAAATGTAAGCGACAATAAAAGTCAGAAGAAGAATAAAAATAAAATATTTTCAAATGTGACGAAATTATTTGTTGCTTTTTTTATATTTTTAATTAAATAACAACATAAGTCTTCAATTTACTGTCAAAATAGATGAACTCTAATCTCAGTCAGTCTTATCATTAAAAAATATTAAAAATATTTGCGAACATTTGAGTGCTCAACGATCATTAGAACGATCGAGTTGACAGCATTAGGTTAGCTCTTCACAATGAAGTAAGCTTTAAAATTAATCTCAAAATTATATTTTACATTAAAGTTATTTCAGGAAACGCACATTAATGCTCGCTTTTTTCTTGATTTCCTTTGCGAGCAACGCTGGTGGTAGTCGAGTGAGCTGTGACGATGATTATGGAGCAAATAAAAAGACTTGCCATATTTATCATGACATTGACGAACCAGAAATCACTTTAGCGCCACCTTCAAACGTTTCAATCCTCTTACTATCAATTCGTGATAATAAAGGAGTGAAATATTTACCTGTGAATGTGTCAAAAACTTTTCCTGATTTGCCTCATTACGATGCTATAAATTGTTCCATCACAAATATTTATAGAAATAATTTTCGAGGATTAACATTTCTGATGACTTTAAATTTAAAATTTAATGAAATTGAAACAGTGAAACGAGACGTCTTTTCAGATTTGACATCCTTGATTACTTTGTCTCTTTGTGAGTGTTTATGAGAAGTTTAGAAAAATATTTTTCTTATTTAAAAAGCTTTTTCTTTATAGCTGACAATAAAGTTAAGCATATTGAAGACGACGCTTTCTTTGGACTATCAAAGCTGGTGGGTTTAATCCTCAACTCCAATGTATGCGTAAATGAAAAAATTGTCAGTCTGAATCAAACTGAAATGGAAATCTTGGTTTCAAGACTTTATATTCAATGTCTGCTGCAAGGAAATTCACAATCAAGGCAATAAAATATCAAATGTGAGCGACAGTAAAAATCAGAAGAAGAATAAAAATAAAATATTTTCAAATGTGACGAAATTATTTGTTGCTTTTTTTATATTTTTAATTAAATAACAACATAAGTCTTCAATTTACTGTCAAAACAGATGAACTCTAATCTCAGTCAGTCTTATCAGTCAAAAATATTAAAAATATTTGCGAACATTTGAGTGCTCAACGATCATTAGAACGATCGAGTTGACAGCATTAGGTTAGCTCTTCACAATGAAGTAAGCTTTAAAATTAATTTCAAAATTATATTTTACATTAAAGTTATTTCAGGAAACGCACATTAATGCTCGCTTTTTTCTTGATTTCCTTTGCGAGCAACGCTGGTGGTAGTCGAGTGAGCTGTGACGATGATTATGGAGCAAATAAAAAGACTTGCCATATTTATCATGACATTGACGAACCAGAAATCACTTTAGCGCCACCTTCAAACGTTTCAATCCTCTTACTATCAATTCGTGATAATAAAGGAGTGAAATATTTACCTGTGAATGTGTCAAAAACTTTTCCTGATTTGCCTCATTACGATGCTATAAATTGTTCCATCACAAATATTTATAGAAATAATTTTCGAGGATTAACATTTCTGATGACTTTAAATTTAAAATTTAATGAAATTGAAACAGTGAAACGAGACGTCTTTTCAGATTTGACATCATTGGCTATTCTGTGTCTTTGTGAGTGTTTTTATGAGAAGTTTAATTAAATATTTTTCTTATTTAAAAAATTCTTTTCATTTAAAGCTGACAATAAAGTTAACATATTGAAGACGGCGCTTTCTATGGACTAACAATGCTGGTGGGTATAAACCTCGTCAACAATGTGTGCGTAAATGAACTAATTATCAGTCCAGAACTGAATCAAACTGAAATTGAAATTTTAGTTTCAAGACTTTATATTCAATGTCAGTTGCAAGAAAATTCGCAATCATGGCAGTAATAAAATAACAAATGTAAGCGACAATAAAAGTCAGAAGAAGAATAAAAATAAAATATTTTCAAATATGAAAAAATATTTGTTGACTTTTATATTTTTAATTAAACAGCAACATTCAATTTACTGTAATAACTGATGAACTATAATCTCAGTCAGTCTTATCAGTCAAAAATATTTGCGAACATTTGAGTGCTCAACGATCATTAGAACGATCAAGCTGAAAGTTTCATAACTCTTCACAATGAAGTAAGATTTAAAATTAATTTCAAAATTATATTTTACATTAAAGTTATTTCAGGAAACGCACATTAATGCTCGCTTTTTTCTTGATTTCCTTTGCGAGCAACGCTGGTGGTAGTCGAGTGAGCTGTGACGATGATTATGGAGCAGTAAAGAAGATTTGCCATATTTATCATGACATTGACGACCCAGAAATCACTTTAGCGCCACCTTCAAACGTTTCAATCCTCTTACTATCAATTCGTGATAATAAAGGAGTGAAATATTTACCTGTGAATGTGTCAAAAACTTTTCCTGATTTGCCCCATTACGATGCTATAAATTGTTCCATCACAAATATTTATAGAAACAATGTTCGAGGATTAACATTTCTAACGACATTAAATTTAAGATATAATGAAATTGAAACAGTAAAACGAGACGTCTTTTCAGATTTGACATCCCTGCTTGCTTTGTCTCTTTGTGAGTGTTTATGAGAAGTTTATGAAAATATTTTTTCTTATTTAAAAAATTCTTTTCATTTAAAGCTGACAATAAAGTTAAGCATATTGAAGACGGCGCTTTCTATGGACTAACAAAACTGATGGCTATAAACCTCAACTCCAACGTATGCGTAAATGAAAAAATTAGCAGTCGAGGACTGAATAAAACTGAAATTGAAATTTGGGTTTCAAAATTTTATATTCAATGTCAGCTGCAAGAAAATTCACAATCAGGGCAAAACTAAAATCAAATCGTTTGCATGTCAATCGAAAATCTTCAAAGTCAAGATCGAAACAATGTGTAAGAAAGAAAAGAAATTTGTAATAAAATTATTTGATTTCAACTTCCCGTTGTGCTTTTCATTAAATATCAACATGAATCTAACGACACATTGTTACGAGAAGTTTACTAATTCCCCAATTCCCTTTATTTGATCTTAAGAATTTTTCTCTTTACACGTTCATGATATCTTTGGAATTTAATTAATTTCGCAATGAACGTGACACATTGAGGAAATAAATTCATTTCTGTTCATTATCAGTTTCAATTTCGTTTCTACAATCACTAACACAATATCAACGTCTGTTTGATAGATTTGTATGTCGTAATAAAATAATGTTGTTATCATTTACCCCGAAAATTATATTAAATTTGTGTGCTTAATGTTATGTGAGAGAGTTTGGTTTGAAATAAATCTACGAAGCGGAGAAGTTGCGGGGGTGAAGAGAAAGAGATAATTTGAGGAGTGAGAAAAACATCTTGGCAACCATTTATCTCATCAAACATGTTTACCAATCACCGTTCGCATTTCTCTTGCGCATGATTGTGAATTTTCCCTTCTTTTACCATCATTTTCCGTATAGCGAAGCTTGTCGAATACAGTTTGCAAAGACTGCTTCGTGAGAAATGATGACTGCCATTCATTCAAACGACTGAAGTGCAAATGTTGGTCAAATTTAATTGAACTTGACGCTTTCATTAAAAGTGAGACAAGAAGTGAAATCATCACCTTTAAAATCTTTTTCCTTTTTTCAAGTTAACTACTTCTTAACATGTATTTATTAAAACAAAACATGAAAAGATAATTAACTAAAAGCAATGACCAAAGGGGGTTGAATTAACTAAACCTTTCAAATGAACAAATTTCTATCGAGATTATCATTAATGTAAGAAGGAAAGAATTTCAAGACCAAGAAGGGCTTGTGGATGTTATTTTGTGAATGAATGAAAGAAAATACTTCGTTTACCTCTTTATACTTAATTATCGAATGATTATCTCCTTTGTCAGTGTCTCTAAAGGAATTGAAACATTTTGTTAAAGTTTCTGTTATCAAAACAACTCAGCATTAAAGTCTGTCTAAGAAGCTTCTTATCGTTGTTGAGCTCTAATTAACGTAAATTTTCTTCGTCGGACGACAAAGATTTACTTTACTTTGTTTACGTTGCATGAAAAACATAAAATTGATAATAAATCCTGTAAGGATCTTTCTTCATAAAATAATAGAATTTAAAAAACTGTGCAAGCATCTTTTTGCTTACAAAATCAGGTCAAAAACCCAAAATGATTCTTATGAATGAATTCAAATAATTAGAGCAATTTATTACTTGCCTACCTACCTGTCAGTAATGAATTTCACTAGAAGACAAGAAGACAATAGATTTGTGACCTTTGTGGTTGCCGTACATAATAAATCTGATTGCAGGCGTTTTAGAGTCAGACGAAAGTCAATTTAATTTCACGGAAAGTTAAGGAAAACATCATAAAATGTCAGAGTAAACAATTTTTAATGAGAAACCCTAAAAAGGGATTGATTAAAATGAGACTTTTGATTTTTATTAAAAACTTTATGACTTAATATCGATTAACTGATTTATTAAATAAAAATAGTGAATTGCATGCTTCATTTCGTAATCACGATTGATTGATAAAAGAGCAGGTGATTCAATAAACATTTAACANAATAATTTTTCTTAATTAATACATAAATTTATAAATTTACCATGTATGGAATGATAAACATACGATAATCTTGTTAAATCTACAGAATTTAAGTTTATTTTTTTAAGTATTTGGCTTATAAAAACTATCTTAAAAGGAATATTGAAGTTACTTACCATTTTCATACTGCTTCAAGAGATCATATGCCAAGGCTTCGTTTCGAATGTTTTTCACTTTTCTAATTATTTTAGAACTTATTCTTGTAATCGAAGAATGTAAGTTAAGTTCCTTTATTTCAGGTGCTCTTTCATAGGCATCAACCAAAAACTAAAAAATAAATTACAAGAAATTAAAATGTATTAATTTAAAATAATTTAATAACTCACCAATTCATATCCAGCAGGAGTGCGAAGATACGGATATCTGTTGACGTAGTCGATCGTTGATATTTCAGTCTTTAATGTTTCTTCTCGAATCTCATAAGTTTGTTTCCATGCTCTTTCAATAGCGTTCTTATTACTAAAATCATTTCCTTCTATGATTTCAATTGCATCTGTATCAATTGTCGGACCAAAAATATCCATTGAGCTATCGTTTTGTTCTGATACATGCCCAACACGTCTTGTTTCTCTTCCAATCAAGCCGACTTTGACAAGAGAATTTCTCAAGTTCAAATAACTTGAGTATAACTTTCCGGCTGGAGCACATCCTCTTGTTGATGGAACAAAATATGTTGATTCTACTTCAGTAGGAAATAATTCGACTAAGATGGTGCTTAAATGCTTGAAGTCATCTTTGTTAAGTCTGAAAGAAAAAAATTCAATCACATGAAATGACAAAGAAGAATCGTAACCTTACTTTCGTTCGTGATTTTTTCCAAGCACAGAATGGATTATATATCTTGATAATTTTCCACGATGATCCTCTTCCAAACATTCATTTGTATCATAATAAGCGTAAGGAATTATGAATTCAAATGATTCAGTGACGGTCAGCGACTAAAATGGATAAAAATCATGAATTAAAAACAAAAAAAATTAATTTCATTAAACTTACCTCTTTTGTTGGAAAAACGTCCATCCTCCACTTGTCAATTAACTAATTGATGATAAACTGTGTTTTTATATGTTTTTTTGTTTGATTTAAAGCAAAAAAACACTCAAATTAAGAATTTTTTTAATTTTTGATGTCACTTGCACAAAACAAAATGGTTGCTGAAGTTTAAATTCGAAAAATTATCATTCCTTAATATGCCAGACAGACTGTTATAAAGTGGCATAATGTCAGCATTCAAAAAAATTTATTAACCGTTAATAATTTCAGTTATAAAGTTAAAATTAAATGTCAATAATAAAGTCTTAGAAGCAGTAATAAAAACTTATTTGCAGCTTCTAAAACCATATTGCAGAACTTAAAAAATTTTTTTCAGTGTAAAAAGGGATTGATTAAAATCAGACTTTTGATTTTTATTAAAAACTTTATGACTTAATATCGATTAACTGATTTATTAAATAAAAATAGTGAATTGCATGCTTCATTTCGTAATCACGATTGATTGATAAAAGAGCAGGTGATTCAATAAACATTTAACAAACCATATGAAATTATGAGAATCTCCATTCATGCTTTGAACAAAAATAATCAAAGCAATTGTTGATATCGATACGTAGAAGTCATTCTCATATTTCTTACCTTCCAAACTTAACTTGTCGTCAACAGTCATGTCAAGCGCAGTCATAAATCGAAAGAAAAATGTCAGAAATGAATGGAAGGGATGGTTTGGTTTGAGAGTATAAGTCTTTGTGTGTGAGAGTGAATAGAAATATGTATGGAGGAACGAAAGCAATAAGAGGTGCAATAAATGACAGAAAACTACCCCTCAACATATTTTTATGGTGTGTTCGTACACAACATGCAGCAGTGGTTTTATGCCAATTTGTTTCATATTTATTTCAAGATTTTCGAATTATGACATTCAGTTGTTGACTATTCATGGAACAAGACGGACAGTGGATGTGAAGTGAAGAAAGTTCTTGAAAAAAATTGAAAAAAGAAAATATTTCTGGTGAAAATTCTAATAAAAAAATAAAAAGGAAAATTCAAATCAAGGAAATTTTATATTTGTGATAAAAAGGAAATAAAATAAATTTCAATCTCAATGATAATGATGAGTGCCATAAATGCTGAAAGAAGTCTTCGGACTTCTCAAAGTAGTCCATTGTCAAAGCCTCGAGCTGTGTACAGTATCGATCAAATATTAGGAAATCATCATCGAAGGAATACAATTAACGGTAATTCATTAAATTTTCCACTTCAAGTGATTATTTCTTTTCTTACACATCGCATCGCTTTGAAATTTAATTCAAGTGAACCATGAATTATTTTCTTGTTCTCGAGTTATATTTTATGTTGCACATTTGAGATTTCATGGTGACTTGATAAAACATATGCACAATTATTATGCTTGCCTCAAATTTGTATCGAACAGCTTGACGCATCAGAAAGTCCTTAAATGATCAAATTAGTATAAAAACAGCGCAATTCACCCGGTAAAAAAATGTTTTATATTGTTGCGAGGTCGAATAATAATGAAAGGGGTAACGTAACATAACATGCAGTCAGATATCACCGTCGAGATAATCATAATTTCATATTTCATTATCGTGGAGTTTTTAATGTTTAAACTTCTTTCCATTCTTTTTTTAAAATAAAATGAAATGAAAGAACGTCATCGGTTCCTGGTTAATGAAATATCCCGCTGCGTTTTTAAATCCTTTTTCTCAATTTAAAGATTTTTCGAGGACTTTATTAATGAAAATTTTATTATATGAAAATACAAACATTTAAGAGATTTTTTCATGTCGCTGTGAGCTCTGAATGCGTGTAATTGCTAACTCGAGTATCAATTTACAATCTGCCGTGATTTGTCTCTGTTTCACTTTATTTCGCTTTGTTAATATCCGGGCTTGAAGTTTGTAATGAAGTTTATTTAAAAAGTAATTTTCGCAAAGTCTCGGAGACAAATTCAAACTTTATTTTCCTTTTTTTTCGGTTTTTGGATGGGGATGACAGAAGAAAAAAGTCATTAAAACCACCAGAATAAATATCATTAAGTAGCTTCATTAAAAATCTGTTTATCGTACGATTTTACTTTGACTCGTGGCTTGTTTCGCTGTTGTTGTTGTTGTTGTGAAAACACCCCCACAATCTAATGCTTTTTAATTTAACTCAATTTATTTTTCATTGAAATGATGCTGTTCATTTCTCGTCATGAATGCATTGTAAACATATAAAAAGTGATGATTAAACTTCCAACTCTCGAGTTCATCAGAAAAAAAATTTTTATATGACATCAAAAGAGTTTTTTCATCGCAAATATTTTTATGTCAACCTGCAGATCATTCATGCATGGAAAATTCATATTGATATGTTCATCACATAGAATTGATCAGCTGTGTGGAAGCAATTAAAGAGCAATTTACAATTTTTATCGAAAACCTGTTTGTTTGTGTCAATCGATTTCAGATTTTCCATTCAAATAAATGAAAGCTTCAAATTAAGCGACTTAATTATTTTTTTTCACACGAAAAACATTTTCAATCGTCTAGTTTCAGAACACGAAGATTCAATAAAAATTGATTCGAGAGATGACATCGGTGTTGATGTTGATAACGATGACGACATTCAAATGGGAGATATGGATTCAGGTGACCACGATTCGAATGACATGTCACGACCTAGGAAGATAAGAAGGTGAGAAAGTAATTACAATGAAAATTCTTAAATTAAAACAATTCTATCAACCTCAGATCTAGAACAACATTCACAACTTATCAATTACATCAGTTGGAGAGATCTTTTGAGAAAACTCAATATCCAGAGTAAGTTAATTAAATATTAAATTAATAAATGAATGCCCTAACAAAATCTTTCCGTAAAAAGTGTTTTCACTCGAGAAGAATTGGCAATGCGATTAGATCTAAGTGAAGCTCGTGTTCAGGTGAGTTGTACTTCCATAAATTTCCTAATTATGCCTAACTAATGTCATCACAAGGTTGTTAAATTGTTAAATGCTTTCTTTGTTAATTAATTTGCGTTTGCAATAATTCGACCGGTTTCGTTTTTTCAACAACAAAAAGAACAAAATAATAAATGGAAGACCAAGTTATTGCATTTCATTCCAGTTTTATGTGACAAATGTTTGGCTTTTTCATTTCATTAAATTCCTATTTAATAACTTATATTACAAACACCGCCTGTAAGGCATTTCATGAATAGTTTTGAGCATTATTGCCAGATTATATAAATTAAACATAATTAGGTTTGTTAATTATTTTGAAAGTTGTTTCTTTCAAATAGTTCCGTGAGTGTGAACACGTACGAAATATTTTCTTCAACCTTTCGAAATCTTTATTTAATCAACAAAAAATATTTGAGCGTCATCTTCAAATTGTTTCCATTGTCAATCAACAAATAAAAAAAAGATTCAATTATGCGGCAATAAATGTAAATTGAAAATGTAACAAAACAATTTTGAAGTGGTCCAGGAAAATGCTTGTCTCTTGCGCTAAAAGCAAATCCATTGTTCACTGAATGAGCTCTTGTCATCCTCGAGACCTAACAATAGAAGAGAAAGAGATTTTTTATCGTCATTTTCGACCCTTTTTTATGTAGATACTCGCTCTATTAACGATATCATCACAACTTAATCCCGAATCTCAATAAATATAAATTTGTGTGCTATTTTATTTCATTTTATATCATTGAGGTATTTAAACTGGTACGAGTTTCAGTGACATTGGGTTGAAAACTTCAATTTCCACCCCCTTCCAGCTTACGACATCGCGTACTAAGTCAATATGTAACGAGTCAACGTTATTCTTCCCATTTTGTGACTACTCAGTCAAAATAAAAAAAAACTTTCATTCTTTACTCGAGTGGCTCGGATTTATCTGCTGCTAACTCCCTCGCATCTTTTTTTTTATTTGTAAATCCGGAATAATTGCTTTTCGCTTGATTTAAATGTGAGCAACATGAGCGGAATTTAAATGAAATTCAATGTTGGTTAAAATGTGTAGATAAGTGAAATGGAAGCAACTTCAACCCCTTTTCGTCTTTTTCCAACATTTTCCATCAATCCAATGATTTGTTGTTGGCCTCGAAATTAAAATTGAATATAAACAAATGGGATTTGTCGAATAAAGGGAGAAAGGAATGTGAATGGCTCGCTTGTAACTATTTAGGACGATTCTCACTTGTACATCAAGAGGCAATTTTGCTATTATCTTTAAATCTCTTTTTGATTATCTTATTTTGAGTGGAGATTGTTGAAATGCGTTGTCGATGAACTCAATAAAGGCAATTTGGTGAACCCCTTTCTATTCCTTCTATTGTCAATCGTCAATGAATAAAATTGATACAAAAGACTAGAAACTTTCTGTTTATTGATGGGCCAATTTAACAGAATCAAATTTCTGATCTTGAAGGGGGATGAAAGGAAAAAATCAAATAAACTAAAATAGCTCAATTGAGATATTTTCACACATAATTATTTTTGATTTCATTTGATGAAAATCCAATTTGCATGGGTTCATTTTGCTTAGTGGGAAAGATTCAGCTGCTTAGACATCAACAGACGTGTGCAAGTTGAGTAAATGTTGGATGAAAAGGATTTCCGATAAAAATTTTCTAACCGAAAGATGTGTGAGAAGAAAATCTCAACAAAAATAATTAACGGCAATTAAATTTAATGAATTTAATTTCTTGGCTGAAGAGATTAAAAGTTTTTCCTAGAGAAGAAATTTCATTTGCAATGCATGATGATTCGAGTTAATTGTCGAGAGAAATTCAAAAAAAATTAATTCATTTTAACATAATCCGAAATTTTGAATAAAAGTCAAGTCGAGAGTTCACTAATTATCCTTGAAAATTGCACTTAATTGCCTCTTGATTTCGTATTCAAAATGCAATTTCTTCGCCATTCGACAGTTGACACGTTGCAATGAAATGAGAATTTAAATCCAAATTATGTAGTGTATCAAATTAATGCTATTATGCAGCACCCCACTGATTTCAACATACAAATTGCCCTTTCGGAAGGCCGACACAAAACGTTATAAGCTTCTGAACGAGTCTCTGTTGAGTGTGCATCTCATTAAAATTAATCAAATTCATTTTTTCCGGTGAGATGAAATAACATTAGAACATAATTGTTGTGATACAATTAATGAATGTTCTAATGCTGTGAATTGCATAATTTATTCGCTTCTGATGTCAACTCTCTGCGTTTTGTTACAACACATTTTAAGGATTAATTGCCCTCACTCGTTATGATCAAATAAAAGTTGAACCTTTTATAAAGTTGTTTGGTTTTTTTTCATTTAATGCGACAATATTCTGATTGATATTCACTCCATGATTGTAACATGAGATTTACATTTTTATATCATATCAAGCTACTTAAAAATATTAAATTATTTGAGGTCGCTTTTTAAGATAAAAGATGGATTAATTTCAGTGAATTTATCCAGCAATTTGTTTAAAATTCTTCTCTGCTCACAATTAAAGACAATTTTAAAAAGACGCGAAAATCTTCAACACATTTTTCATTAAAATTTTACTTCCATTAAATACAGTTTATATCAGTTTAACGACTGCTTAAGAAGCTCTTTTGACGGTGAATTAGCGTCAATTTGTGTTTCAATTGGAAAATTTCTTCCGCGCTGTTGAATTCGTTGAATTGAATTAAATTGGCTGATGAATGAAGAAAATAAAATAAAAGCTCGAGATTTCACTTCCCATTCGAAGCTGAAATGGGAAAATTGCGTGTAATCGTTGAAAATTCCCTTCACAATTCCCAACGATTGAGGATTTACTGATGTTTCAATTATCTCGCCAATTATCCTTGAAAACAATTCATGACAACGTTACATGTGTCTCCGAACAGAAAAGAGACACGCGACCATTGAAATGCTCAAATCTTATGCACAATTACTCGACACATGTAAATTCTAAATTCTCTACCATTAATCGGAAATTGTTTTCATCTAACAGTTGACAAGATGATTCAAATCAGTCCAATTAAATTAATTGGATTTCAATTTTACTCCGAGTAAGATTTGATTTGATGAAGGTGAATATTGTCATTCTAAGTTTCCTTCAATGGAAAATCGAACAACAATTGTTGTTGAGATACCGAAATCGATTTGCTATTGTTCAATTATGCATATGTTTCATTATCCTTTTCTGGTTAACAACACACATACTGAGCACCTCATAATATTCACTTCCGATTGGATTCAATTGTTGAAGGTAATGGATGAAGGGGAAATTTATCATCAAGATAATTCGCCATGCTCTTCTTCAATACACAATTTGCAAATGCTGGAACATTTTTTATCAATTTCCTGCTACGAAGTTCCTGCTGTTTTCTTCTTCCACTCGCTCTTTTTTTTTGGTGAATCCAATGGGAATGAAAATGGCAATAAAATGAATATGAAAGAATTTTCCCACTCAGCAAATATGTTAACAATGAAATCATTTGATAATTGACATGTTTTAAAATGATTTTTACTTATGTTGATTTAATGTTGTGATTATTTTTGGGTTTATTAAAATCAAATTTTCATCGACTTAACGCCGGTCTAAATTACAATTCTCAGAAAGGGATGAAAAGTTCTGACTGGTTGTTTAATCAAGTGGAAGAAATTACTGAAATGTGTACGAAAGCAGTTAATTGTTGTTCGCTGGGAACTCAAATACAAAAAGAGGTTTTCGAATGAAGAGAAATTATTTAATTGCAAGCAATTTGAGTAACAAAAAAATGACGCTTTACAAATGAACCCTTTTTGAAATTCTAGAACGGGGAGTGGACAATTAAAAATCAAATTCAATTAAACGTTTCATTATGTGAAACATCCTCGATAAAATTTTATTTTTTAACTTTCGACGCTTACGTTTCTTACCGAGAATTTCTTGTTTTCATTGTAATGAAATTAGTCGCAAACACCTTTTGATGATGTTATCAGCAATATATATTTCCTGTCCATGAATAACGAACTGTAACATTCGATTAATTTTTATTTTTTTATTCAGGTTTGGTTTCAAAACCGTCGTGCTAAATGGCGCAAACGGGAGAAAGCAATGGGACGAGACACAACCGCATTTTTACATCACGAACAAGGTAAATACTTCTAAAATCGATAAGTTATTTGTCCACTTCATTCTCTTGTCTTTTTTATCGCATTATCAGCTGTTCATTTTAGGGCTGAGCAATTGCATAATAAACGTAATCGAGATTGTCAGTCATTAATGGGCATTATTCATGCTAATTGATCATTAATGTTTATTAAATTAACTTTTAATTATTTCTTTTTTCTTTTAATTTGCAATGAAAGGTTTGCCAGACTTCCCTATTTCACTTCCAATGCCACACAACCTGGCACATCCGGGTGATTTCTGGTCACCTGCTAGTTTCGGACTTCACCCAACAATCATTCCAACTGCCAACCATATGCTTCATCCAAATCTTATTCCAAATTATAAAATTCCAAATATTCACGCCATCATGCAATACATGGGATTGAATAGTTTATTCAACAGCGATCGAAATCTAAACCATCCGATGTCACCTCAAAACTTATCGGTGAACACTTCAGCAACAACGAGATCGAGCAGTCCACAAAACAGTCCCATTGATAATTCAACCAAAGACAATGAAAAGTAAATTTTACTTCATCAATTTTCTATAACATCGATTAAAAAGAAAGCGAGAAGGGAAAATATTTAAATTAAAAATTGTAGCCAACGTGATGATTTAATAATTTTTTAAATAAACTCTTTTCTGTTCTAGTGATTGTTTAAGATAATTGTAATAAATAACTTAGGAGTTGTGTATATAAATTATAATTGTAAGTAACATTCAAATATGTCGAAAGTCTTAGAATCTGAAAATAAGAAAAATAAACAAAAAATAAAAAAGTTGATATTGATTTATTGAAAGAGAAATTAAGAATTGCTTTTTATCCATCACTTCATAACCAAACAAACAACAGAAATTTGAATCTTTCAGGAATTTATTCTAAATTTCTTTCCATCGCTTCAGAGATCCAAGATTTAAAGTCATTAATATTTGTGTAGCCTAAAGGAGTTGAAGCATAACAAGTTTCATAAATGATGCTGCCGATTCCGCAAAGTTCTCCATTACAAATTGCAGCACCTCCTTTCCCAGCCTGATTGCAATGAATCAATAAAAGATTAAAAGAATTTAATCATTTGCTTCATTTACTCACAAGACAAGGACTACGGAATCCAGTGGGCATAAAGAAATGTTGCTGGAGACAAAATATTCCATGAAGATAATCGTACCTTGGAGATATATTTTTACAAGCAAGTTCGCCCAAAATAAACAGCGTGTTGTAATTCAAATATTTGTCTCCAGGTTGTTTTAACCATCCAACAATTGTCACTTCTTCATGTGGTGAAATATATCTTTTCTTCATCAACTTGATTTTCTTAATAGAATCATCATCATCAAGATTCAAACACTTTTTTAGCTCCAACAATGCAATATCATATTTATTTACACTTTTCAGGTATTGTTCGTGAATTATCACACGTGCAACCTTTCTTTTGATTCCACCAACATTGATAACATTACTTCCTGCTACAATTGAAACATTCTGTGGTCTGGAAATCACAACTGAAATTAAATTTGTGGAATAATAATTAATTGACTTACTTATAAACATCGAAGCAACTTGCTACAGTTAACACCCAACATTCGTTAATTATATTTCCAGTACATGCAAATTTTTTCTTCCATTTAACAATAACTTGTGATGGAAATTGATTTCTTTCCGCTAAAGTTGAAATCACAGGATGAAAGTAAATCACACAAATGATAATTAAGATTTTTAATATTTTATTAATGTTTTGCATTATTGTGATCAATTGATAGTTTGAAGTTAAATGCACAAATGAGAATAGTTTTGAATAAATTTATTTGTGATCCGTAAAAGTTTATACTTTAATCTATAAAATTTGCAATTTCACATACTTGAGTAACGAAAATAATTCTAAATTCATTTATTCAGATTTGTATTTGAAGAAGCTTTGATTATTAAACAGTAAAATGAATTGATGACATCATTAATTTCATTCATACTGTCGAAAGGAGAAAATAGTCTTAATGGATACAATTTGTTAGATATCGATCGTAATACAGTGAACTGTGATAAGCCGATGCCTCAATAAACTTACAACCTCGATTAACCGATATTATTTTGTCTGCCTTGACGAATATTTATGTTGGAAATGAGCTCGATAAACCAATAACCTCAATAAATCAATATTTTTGTCCCTGTTGAGCCATCGGCTTATCGAGGTTCCACTGTAATAGAAATTTGAATCTTTCAGGAATTTATTCTAATTTTGTTTCTATCGAGCTCTCAATCCAAGGTCTAAAATAATTAAGATTTGTGTAGCCTAAAGGAGTTGAAGCGAAACATTTTTCACAGATGATGCTGCCGAGTCCGCAAAGTGTTCCATTACAAATTGCAGCACCTCCTTTCCCAGCCTGATTAGAATAATCAATAAAAGATTAAAAGAATTTAATCATTTGCTTCATTTACTCACAAGACAAGGTCTATGAAATCCAGTGGGAGCATAGAATCGTTGATGGAGACAAAATATTCCAGGGTGATTGTACCTTGCAGATATCTTATGACAAGTCTAATGGTTCAAAAGAATCAGCATGTTGTAATTCAAATGTTTGATTCCATCTTGTTTTAACCATCCAGCAATTGTCACTTCTGTATATGTTGATCCAGGCTTTTTATTTATCAACTTGATTTTCATAATAGAATTATAGTCATTAAGATTCAAACACTTTTTCAGCTCCAACAATGCAATATCAAATTTATTTACACTTTGCATGTATTGTTCGTGAATTATCACACGTGCAACTTTTCTTTTGGTTCCACCAATACCGTTTACATTAGTTCCTGCTACAATTGAAACATTCTGTGGTCTGGAAATGATAACTCAAATTGAACTTGTGGAAAGATAATTAATTCACTTACTTATCAACATCGAAGCAACTTGCTACAGTTAACACCCAACAACGACTTATTATATTTCCAGTACATGCAAATCTTTTCTTCCATTTAACAATAACTTGTGATGAAAATTGATTTCTTCCTGCTAATGTCGAAATTACAGGATGAAAATAAATCACACAAATGATAATGAAGGTTTTTAATATTAAATTAATTTGTTGCATTATTGTAATCAATTGAAAGTTTCAAGTTAAATGCAGACATGCTGTGGATTTTTTTAACTAAATTTATTTGTGTTCTGAGAAATTTGTGTTCATGCTTTAATCTAGAAAATTTACAATTTCACGTATTTGAGTGACGAAAATAATTCTAATTTCATTTATTTCGGAAATAAAATTGTTTTCGAAGAAGCTTTGATTAGTAAACAGTAACATGAATTGAAGGCAACATTAATTTTATTAAGACTGTCGAAAGTAGAAAACAATAATTATGGGTACAATTTGTTAGATATCGATCGTAATAATAATTTGATTTATATAAAATTCGATCACTAAAGCGACTAAATTTCTTTTTATAAGAAAACTTTAATTCTGACAATAAAAACTTTATTGGGAACAATAATTAAAATCATGAATAGTATTTCATAGTATGTTCAATCCAATCGTAAAAGTAAGAAATTTTTGTGTATGCTGATGGTTCAGGTGAACCACAGGGATGAGCGATGATGCTTGTAATTCCACACAGTTTTTCATCACAGATTGCAGCTCCACCTTTATCGCCCTAGAAATGAATCTAACAATTAAGAAAAATTCTCTTAGTTAACTGTTTGACTTACATCACAAGCACCCGTTTTATCTTCTATGAGACAAAATATTCCTGGATGGTCATATACCTTAGATGTATACTGGCACTGATAATCACCCATGATCTTAAGTGTGTTGTGCCTCAACCATTCATTTGGTACTGTATCAAATGTACTCCCCCATCCGACAATAGTTACTTCATTATTCAACGGTTCGAATTTTTTATCTAACTTAATTTTTTTGATTGTTTTTCCCAACTTAAAACAAGATTGCAGTTTCAGTAAAGCGATGTCATATTGCATATTGATAACATCATAATTTTCATGAATTATTATTTTTTCAACTTCTTTTGGAATTCCACCATAATAGATATCATTAGTCCCAGCTTTAACTGTTACTCTTGCCATTCTAAAGATTAATGAAATGGGAAAAAGTTTATGGAAATAAATTTAAATTCACTCACTCAACACCGTTGAAACAACTTGCTGCAGTTATCACCCAACATTTATCAATAACACTTCCACTGCATATAAATACCAAATCATATTTAATAATAACTTGGGATGGAAACTGAATTGTGTCTGCTGCCGTTCCAGCAAAAATTCTTGCATTTTTTTTCGAAGCAATCACGACAGAAAAAGAAATTGTGCAAATAATTATGAATGTTGATAATATTTTATTATTTTGTCGCATTTTTATGAATAATTGAATGGAATATTTATACAATCGCTAAGGTGGTCAGCAAGAATGTAATTGCTTTTGATAGTTGCGGCTCACTTTAGTAGCTTATAAAGATTTATTCAAGAAATAAAGAAACGATCGTCACATTTAAAATTGAAAAAACTAATTTTTCCACTTTAAGTGTGACGAATTTTCTTATCTGATTGCTTATAAAAATAAATTTTGTTTTTAAAAGTTTCGTTCTCAATTTTCTTTAATTTATCTTATTTTCATTTTAGTTCTATTTTAATTATTCTAAACAAGAAATAAAAGCTGAGATTATTTCATTGAAAAGCAGATAATTATGATTGAAATTTTATTTTTACTGATTTATCGTATTCCAAATCCAAGAACAATAATGAGAAACTCTTGTGTATATTGAAGGTGTTTTTGAACCACAAGGACGAAAGACGAAGCTGGTAATCCCGCACAATATTCCATCACAAATCACACCACCACCTACATCGCCCTATAAAGATTAAAATAATTCAAAGAGTTTCTGTCATTGTTATCTCATTGACTCACATTACAAGAAGCACTTCCATTTTGCGCCACAAGACAAAACATTCCCGGATAATTATAACTGTCGGACATTTCACGACAATCGAAATCCATCATTGCTTTAAGTTTCGTGTACTTTAAATTTAAACTTGGTTCAGTTAATGGTGAAGTATTTCCCCATCCAACAACAATTACTTCTGTCATTTTTTCATCAGATCTATTTGAAAATTTAATCTTTCTAATGGATTTTTTCTTCTTGAAGTTCAAACATTCTTTCAGTTTTAATAAAGCGATGTCATTTTCATAAGTTTTCGCTGAGAAGTTTTCATGAATAAAAATTTTTTTGACTTCTTTTTCAATTCCACCAACTTTCCTTGAATTGGTTCCAGCTACAACTGAGATGTCCTTTTGTCTAAAAATCGAAGAGTTAAACTCATCTTATTAAATTGTTTTATCACACTCACCCATTTTTGAAACAACTTGCTGCAGTTATCACCCAGCATCGTTCGATTATGCTTCCAGTGCATGCATACTTGTCCCCTCTGTTAATTATGACTTGAGACGGAAATTGATTTTTCTCAGCATCTTGTCCACCCATTATTCTTGCATTTTTTCTCTCTTTCGTAGTGCAAAGATTAATTATACAAATGAATGTTAATAATGTCAATATTTTGTGGTTTTCTTGCATTCTCATTCGATTAATTTGTGAATAAAATTGAAACAATGGTGAGTGCTTTTAGAATAAAACTTTAAGTGTTCAGTAAGTAAAAATTTGAACAAGGAATTGCTTTTAAACGATGAAATTAAAATTCTCCACTTTAATTGTGCAAATCTTTATTTTTCTATTAAAACCGAAGTTAAATTCAAAAGTAGCTTAAGACACTCTGTACATTACTTACCAAAGACGCAAGTTGAAGCTTTTTGATTAAATTAATCACCAAACATCGTTCAATGATAGTTCCAGTACAAGAAGCTTGGATAAGCTCTTAATCGAGTCTCAAGATCAACCGAATGTTATTGCAAAGAAATTAAAATCTTTAATAAAACTTTGGAATAACTCATAAAGCATTTTTTTAATAAATTTCAGCAGTTTATCACTGTTTCATTCATAATAGCAGAGCGAGAAAAATTAATAATGCATTCAAATAAGAATAAAAGTCTTACACATCAACAGCATTTATTAAACATTAATTAAATCCTGAACTTATTTAAAATCATAATTTTTCTATGTACAATCCAAATATGTTTAAAGTTTTAGAGCTCATCCTTGATGTCAATAAATTCACGTATTTGATCGATGTCGATGAGTGAATCTTCGAATCCATTTGTAGTAGTGAGAAATTTTCATGTATCCTGAAGGTCGTATCGAGGCGCAATACTGATAAATTATGCTGGCAATTCCACATAGTTTTCCATCGCAAAATGCACCACCACCCAAGTCACCCTATAAATAAATTAATAAAATATTTAAAGACGTTTTACCAATTTTATTAACTTACATAGCAAGCTCCCTTTCTTCTCGTTTGTTTAAGACAAAAGATTCCAGAATGATTAAAGTCTTCATTAGAATTATGACAACTATCCATGCTCATGAGTTCCAATTTATTGTATTTCAGAACAGTTGAAATTACACCATCGTTTTTGTTGCTTATTCCATATCCAGAAATTGTGACTTCCCTTCTCATCGGGTTGAAACTTCTTTCCAACTCAGCTTTCTTAATTGATTTCCTATAACTCAAACACTTTTTCAGTTCCACTAAAGCGATATCATTTCTTCTTGGGTTATTTGCGTATTTTTCATGGATCACAATTCGTTTAACTTTTCTTCGTGCTCCATTACGATCGATTGAATTAGAAATTCCTGCTTTGATTGTGATATTTACGAGCCTGAAAATTGATGAATAAAAATAATTTATGGAGAAAAAATAATTAAATTTACGGATCGCTATCACGGAAACAAGCAGCTGCAGTTATCACCCAACAACGTTCAATGATAGTTCCAGTACATTCAGTTGAATACTCATTCCTTCTGATAAAAATTATAACTTGAGATGGAAACTGACGTGGTTTTGCCACCCATCCGCCACTTATTCTCGCAGATTTTCTTGAAGAAATGACATCAGACAAATTGAATGCAAAGATGATCATTAATGTTGTTGTTGTTTTAATTATTTTATTGCTCTGCTGCATAACTATCTACAAAAAACCGAATGAAATTCTACGAAGATCAAACTTTTCACAAACGCGACTGTTCTTGTTAAGTAAATTTTGACATTTACAGCTATTTCTTAAAACAAAATTGTTGTGTTGTTGGAAGTAGGAAATTCACGGTGTTACTGATGGAATTTAATTTTCCACTTAAAGTGTAAAATTTTTCTTTTTCCATTCAAACAAGAATTACATAAAATCTTACACTTACACGACAACAGCAAATATTAAACTTTAGAGTTTATTTAAAATAATAATTTTTATGTACAATCTAAATATAATCAACCTATGAAATAAGAAAACACAAGAAGAAAAATTTTCAGCTCATCCTTGATGTCAATTAAATCACGTATTTGATCGATATCGATGAGTGAATCTTCGAATCCATTTATAATAGTGAGAAATTTTCGTATACAATGATGGGCGTACTCTGCCACAAGGTTCAAACATGAAGCTGGTTATTCCACATAGTTTTCCGTCACAAAAAGCACCTCCACCTACGTCACCCTGTGAAAAAATTGAAATACTGAAAGAAATTTCAATGTTCTGTACACTTACTTTGCAAGCTCCATTTATGTTAGTTTGTTTAAGACAGAATTTTCCAGGATGATAAAACAAAGAAGAATGTTTTTGACAATTTTCTGTGCTCATCAGTTTTAGTTTGTTGTATTTTAAAATAGCTGAACTAGTGGTATGGTTACCATCGGTGCCAAATCCAAATCCAGCAATTGTGACTTCTTTCTTCATGGGGTTAAAAGTTTTTTCCAACTCAGCTTTTTTAATTGATTTTGTATAAGTCAAACACTTTTTCAGCTCCACTAGGGCGATGTCATTTCTTCTATCTTTTTGCGAGAAGTTTTCATGAGTTATTATTCGTTTAACTTTGCGCTCGGTTCCACCATAAGCGACTGAATGAGTTCCAGCTTTGATTGTGACAAATTGGGGTCTGAAAAATGGCGATTCATGAAGAATTTAAGGTTGATATAAAATTATTTACATATCGTTATCACGGAAACAAGAAGCTGCAGTTAACACCCAACATCGTTCAATGATGGTTCCACCACAAAAAGACTCTTTCTCATTCCTTTTAAAATAAACAACAACTTGAGATGGAAACTGATGCGATTTCGCTTCCCATCCACCATACATTCTTGCTGTCATTTCGGATTGAATAAAACTAGGGAAATAAATTATATGAATAATAATCAATATTCTAATAATATAATGCATGATTAGATCTCAACAATTGAACAGTGCGATTAAAACTGCTGTGCTAATTTTGATAAAATTTGTTGCCGATACAAAAATTTCATGCTTTGTTCGATGAAATTTCAATTTTCCACATCAACTGTAAAAAAATTCTTTGACTATAAGAAGTAATGAAAATTGCATCAACTTAGATATTTATTGACTGTTGCAACAATTTTATTCAACTTCATTTTTTTTATAATTCAACTTTAATTAGAACTTTTTTTTAAAACAATGAATTAAAGATTGCCAACAAATGTCAACCTTTTAACTTCATTTTCATCGTATTTTAACATCTTTTGTTTAATCCAATCAATGTAAAAAGANAAATAAAAGCTGAGATTATTTCATTGAAAAGCAGATAATTATGATTGAAATTTTATTTTTACTGATTTATCGTATTCCAAATCCAAGAACAATAATGAGAAACTCTTGTGTATATTGAAGGTGTTTTTGAACCACAAGGACGAAAGACGAAGCTGGTAATCCCGCACAATATTCCATCACAAATCACACCACCACCTACATCGCCCTATAAAGATTAAAATAATTCAAAGAGTTTCTCTTATTGTTATCTCATTGACTCACATTACAAGAAGCACTTCCATTTTGCGCCACAAGACAAAACATTCCCGGATAATTATAACTGTCGGACATTTCACGACAATCGAAATCCATCATTGCTTTAAGTTTCGTGTACTTTAAATTTAAACTTGGTTCAGTTAATGGTGAAGTATTTCCCCATCCAACAACAATTACTTCTGTCATTTTTTCATCAGATCTATTTGAAAATTTAATCTTTCTAATGGATTTTTTCTTCTTGAAGTTCAAACATTCTTTCAGTTTTAATAAAGCGATGTCATTTTCATAAGTTTTCGCTGAGAAGTTTTCATGAATAAAAATTTTTTTGACTTCTTTTTCAATTCCACCAACTTTCCTTGAATTGGTTCCAGCTACAACTGAGATGTCCTTTTGTCTAAAAATCGAAGAGTTAAACTCATCTTATTAAATTGTTTTATCACACTCACCCATTTTTGAAACAACTTGCTGCAGTTATCACCCAGCATCGTTCGATTATGCTTCCAGTGCATGCATACTTGTCCCCTCTGTTAATTATGACTTGAGACGGAAATTGATTTTTCTCAGCATCTTGTCCACCCATTATTCTTGCATTTTTTCTCTCTTTCGTAGTGCAAAGATTAATTATACAAATGAATGTTAATAATGTCAATATTTTGTGGTTTTCTTGCATTCTCATTCGATTAATTTGTGAATAAAATTGAAACAATGGTGAGTGCTTTTAGAATAAAACTTTAAGTGTTCAGTAAGTAATAATTTGAACAAGGAATTGCTTTTAAACGATGAAATTGAAATTCTCCACTTTAATTGTGCAAATCTTTATTTTTCTATTGAAACCGAAGTAAAATTCAAAAGTAGCTTAAGACACTCTGTACATTACTTACCAAAGACGCAAGTTGAAGCTTTTTGATTAAATTAATCACCAAACATCGTTCAATGATAGTTCCAGTACATTCAGTTGAATACTCATTCCTTCTGATAAAAATTATAACTTGAGATGGAAACTGACGTGGTTTTGCCACCCATCCGCCACTTATTCTCGCAGATTTTCTTGAAGAAATGACATCAGACAAATTGAATGCACAGATAGTTATTAATGTTGTTAATATTTTAATTATTTTATTGCTCTGCTGCATAACTAAAAAAACCAAATGAAATTCTACGAAGAACAAACTTTTCACAAATGTGACTGTTCTTGTTAAGTAAATTTTGACATTTTCAGCTATTTTCGAAAAAATTGTACTTGCAAGTAGGAAATTTACGGTTATTGATGGAATTTAATTTTCCACTTAAAGTGTAAAATTTTTCTTTTTCCATTTAAACAAGAATTAAAGTTTTACACGTCAACAGCAAATATTGAACTTTAGAGTTTATTTAAAATAATAATTTTTATGTACAATCTAAATATGTTTAAAGTTTTGAAATAATAAAATAAGAAGAACGATTTACAGCTAATTCTTGATGTCAATTAACTTACGTAATTGATCGGTATCGATGAGTGAATCTTCGAATCCATTTATAATAGTATGAAATTTTTGTATACAATGATGGGCGTACTGCAGTGCAAGGTTTAAAAATGATGCTAGTAATTCCACATAGTTTTCCATCACAAAAAGCACCTCCACCTGCGTCACCCTGTGAACAAATTGATGAAATATGTAAAAGAAGTTTTAAAATTCTGCATACTTACATAGCAAACTGCATTATTTTTAGTTTGTTTGAGGCAAAATTTTCCAGGATGACTAAAAGTCAGAGCATATTTTTTACAATTCTCTACGCTCATCAGTTTTAGTTTATTGTATTTTAAGACATTTGATTCCACACCATTATCCCACTTGTCCTCGCTATTTCCATATCCGACAACTGTGACTTCTTTTTTCATGGGGTTAAAAGTTTTTTCTAACTCAGCTTTTTTAATTGATTTTGAATAAGTCAAACACTTTTTCAGCTCCACTAGGGCGATGTCATTTCTGTTATCTTTTTGCGAGAAGTTTTCATGAGTTATTATTCGTTTAACTTTTCTTGTGGTTCCATTATAATTGATTGAATGAGTTCCAGCATGAACTGTGATCATCTGGGGTCTAAAAATTGGCGAGTTAAATAAATTTTAAAATTTAAATCAAATAATTTACAGATCATCATCATGGAAACAAGAAGCTTTAGTTATCACCCAACATCGTTCAATGATAGTTCCACCACAAAGAGATTTTTTCTCATTCCTTTCAATATAAACCACAACTTGAGATGTAAACTGATGCGGCTCTGCTTCCCATCCGCCAATTATTCTTGCTGTCATTTTGGATTGAATGAAACTAGGGAAATAAATTATATGAATAATAATCAATATTCTAATAATATAATGCATGATTAGATCTCAACAATTGAACAGTACGATTAAAACTACTGTGCTAATTTTGATAACATTTGTTGACGATACAAAAATTTCATGCTTTGTTCGATGAAATTTCAATTTTCCACATCAACTGTAAAAAAATTCTTTGACTATAAAAAGTAATGAAAATTGCATCAACTTAGATATTTATTGACTGTTGCAACGATTTTATTCAACTTCATTTTTTTTTATAACTCAACTTTAATTAGAACTTTTTTTTAAAACAAGTAATTAAAGATTTACAACAAATGTCAACCTTTTAACTTCATTTTCATCGTATTTTAACATCTTTTGTTTAATCCAATCAATGTAATAAGAAATTTTAGCGTATCCATCAGGAAATGAAGATCCACAACCGCCAACTACAAAGTTTGCTAGGCCGCAGAGCTTACCATTGTAAATTGCACTTCCACCAGAGTCTCCCTAAAGTGCAAATAAAATCAAGTGATTAATTAAAGTTCAACTTAAGAAATTGTTACTAACATTGCAAGCGCCATTATTGATGCTGTGACCAAGACAAAGCACGCCATCAAAATTAAATGTCGGTGTTGCGAATGAACAATTCTTATTATCAAGTTTTTCAATGACGTTGTACTTGAGGAGTGTTGAGATGAATCCGATGTTGGAAGTTCTCCCCCAACCACAAATTGTGACTTCACTTAATGCAGGAATATTTTCTTCCAGTAATTCCACAGATTGAATTGAATCACTGAAGTTCAATGGTCTGTCCAAGCGCATCAAAGCGATGTCATTTTTAAAGTTGCCATAATCTTCATGAATAATAGTTTCAACGACATTTCTCCAACTTCCACCAACTCCCAAAATATTTGAACCAGCAAGAATCGACAATTGTCTAAAAAGAAATAATTTTAATTATTTTTGGTTCAAGGAAGAAAATTTTCACTCACTCAACACCGACACAATGAGCTGCTGTTAATATCCAAGATGGGTCAATTATGCTTCCACCACATCGTAATGAACCTTTGTAATACAACGCAACTTGAAATGGAAACTGATTAGGTTTTGCTATGAATCCACCAACTATCTTCGTATCTGCTTCATCAAAATTCTCTGCTGAACAGTAAACGAAAAATGAAATTAAAATTGCTGTTGACAGTTTCATCGCGATGATCAGATTGATTGACGTTCATGTAAAAAGTTTTGATTTATATAAAATTTTAAGTGATTCTCTCTTAACCCAATAAACATTTGATTAACGATGCATATTCAGTTGATAAGTTGATTGTTTCAGATAAAATGTTTTCAATGATTATCGTGATCGACTTATTATGTAAATACAAACAATGCTTGATATGATATCTAAAACAATTCGATAACTAATGAAACCAGAACATCTTCAAAGTTTTAATGATTAGATAAATTCTTTATTACAAATGTTTACAACAAAGTTGTTCGATTCAAGTGTCTGAACATTTGTAAAGTGCTTCTTGATCCCTTTTTTATTAGTCAATCATCCAATATTTATCACAGTTTGATGTTTTCAATTTCGTGAATTTTCGATTACTGTGGTTTGAGAATCTCAACCAACATTCTATCATAACATCCACAAATTCAATATGAAGCTTTTTGTTATTACTCAAGTGTCAACATTTATTCAATCATGAATGAAGAAGTCTCTCATTGAAAGGTGACGGTTGAATGGATAAGGAAAAAAATATCAAAAAACATTGCCTTAAAGGCTTTAAACACTTTTTTTCATGATTTTATTTAACCTGATGGAAGTTTGAAGAGAGATCTTCAAATAGAGATTAGAAACGTTTATTGAAAAATATTCAACATGGATTGCTCTCAATTTTTTGTTATTAAATTTTCTATCAAATTTTATTTCAGATTATGATGTTAATCGCTTATCATAAGTTATTGCACCTGGTAAATTCTCATTTGTGTAGATATATCAAAAGCGGCTTTACTTCATTTCAGCTGTTATCACAAGTTATAATTTATTTACATGTAAAATTACAATATAATTAATTTCTGTGTAACATAATTGAAAAACACTCATTTTATTTATTGCAGATAACATTTAAGGGATCAATTTATGGGGACATTTCATAAGTTTCTCCTCTCATTAATAATATTGCAGTTTGATTTAATTCCAGTTCCCAACTGACTCACAATTCAATCGATAAAAGCCACAAAAACCACCGACAATTATTATCACAAATGAACACATGTCGACAACGTTTTATCTCTTCATAAAATTCATTTACATTCTGTACACGTAAATTAATAATAAATATTAATCAATCACGCTATAATCTCCAAATAATTTTATTGATTAAAATGTTGTCGACATGATAAGTTAGATATTAACATTTATTTGCCTTCATTGAGTTTCTAATGCTGAAGTAGCTTCAGGATGGTCAATTTTTGTACCATCGGCAAGGTTTAAGAAGGTCAAGAGTATTAATTTCAGATAAAATCGTAAGGATGCTATTTTCCTTTTCACAAGCATCACTTCAGTTAATTTCTGTCTCAAACTATTGATTGAAATCTGATGCCATTTCAAAGCAATTGAATTAGAAAAGTTCACCGCAAATAATTTTCATGTGAGATTTTTTTTCTGCTTACCTCTTGGTGAGTCTTTCCCATTTAAATTCTCAGGACATGCAACATAGAAATTCCTTCTACTAAATTAAATGTCAAAAAGATTACATTTCCTTATAAATCGTTTTATAATCGTTTTGCTACCATCCGCCTTTTGAAAATGTTTTTTGGGCAATTTATAACAAACAATTGCGTCAACAACAGTATCAAATTATTTCTACTTCTTAAATTGCCGTCTTTTGATCGAGATTTGAGGGATAAAGTTTTTTGCATGCCAATTTCTGCGCAAACAAAATTTTTTCCTCGATACAATTTTAAGTTTCTTATGTCACCGCCCTTTTCCTGATTCTCTCGTTTCATTTACGAATTTATTTTCATTTGAGAATACGAATGATTCAGAAAATGTTTAATTCAAGAGGCTGACTTAGTTTGCCATTCATTTTCGGGATAGAAATGAAATTAGCCATCAAATTTAAACTGCTTGGCATCATCTGAAATCCCGTGATTAAAATAATTCAAACTCTTGTCAACCTCGAAAACATTTGAATGGCATTTATAAACCTTTGTTAAAACTTCAAGAAGGCAAGCTCTTGACAATTTATTTGCAACCAAAAAACGATATTTAAAAGGAAAGAAATTAATCCGCAATCATTTCATTTGTTAATAATTTTTTTCCTGATTCAAGTGAAGTTTTTCGGCTTTTAGGTTCTAAATTGCAGGATACAAATTCGATCTATTAGACCACTGGAAAATGTTAATCTCTTTTCTGAATTTATCCTTAAAGAATCTCCATTTTTCTTCTTTACTCGATTGTTATTATTTCGTCCTTCTGTTTTTGTTTGTACATAAATATCAAGATTTGAAATCCTACCGACAGTCGCCTTACATCTCTCTCTCTCTCTCTCATTCATTCTTAAGCACTTCTTTTTGATAATTTACACTACTCTTACCCGACTAACTAAGCCATTTAGTTGTTTAAGGAACAAATTACCACCTACTTACATTGGAATTGTGTCGGCTTTGACTTAAATAAACGACAGAAAAACAAAATCTAAATCAACTTCAGTCATCTAGAAAATCAATCAGACATCTTTTATGATGTTGTTGGTTTGTCCCATAAAAAATCTGAAATTTCACCTTGTGAATGTTCAATCAAAGTTTGTCGAAACCTCATCACATTTTGTGGGAAAAAATCAAAAAAACTTTCATTCACTTTCATTCGTCCTTCGAATGAAAATCGTTCACATGTTAAAAACAAAATTCTTTACACTCAATGAATTTTCATAATTTTTTTTCATATTGAATGGGAAAATGAGAAAGTTTATTAATTAATTTACCATAAAATTATGTTTTATTTGTGCTTGTTCCTCATAATAAATAAACACAAAGCTTCTCTCAGTTCCCACCACTCAACTCACCTCCAATTTTACTTCTAACAACATTCTCCAATTTCCATCAATCTCATCCAATAATGCGATGCGGAAAACGCTCATCAAATCTACTGAAATTAATCTTCATTAAATTTCTTGGTTGGATAAACACAGATGAGGTTTGAATGGAATGAAATTCATTACGAAGCTTCTTGAAACAGCATGAGGCCAAATTGAAGATGTAACAAACGTCTTTAAATAGGAACAATTAAGATGTTTCTATAAATAGAAAATTCAAAATATTAAACTGATGCTAAATAAGAAAAGAATTCATTTTAATATTCATCGACCGATTTTTCCTTTTCTCAATCTTTTGAAATTATTCACAAAATGTTTCAAAAAAAAGTTTTCTAAGGAAATAAAAATATCTAATTTAATAAAAAGATTGATCTCGTTCAATTATAACTCATGCATGTACTTGAAAAGTTTCAACAATGAAAGGTGTTGGATTCCAACATAAAAGATGAAAGAATTTTGGTGCTAAAATTGATCTCATTAAACATTATTAAAAGAAAATTTGTCACCTTTTATGCATGTGATGAGAAAATCATATTTGCTTTAGCCAACTCAGCTTTCTTTCAATTTCAATTGTCATTCATTCAAAGATCTTTCTCTCCCTTCATTTCATTATGTTTTGTATATGTTACAAGGCAAATTGAGGCAAATCAAGCGGATAAATTGAGCTCATGGAAATTTGCCGTCTATTGTTGGAATTCAAGTGGAAGAATAGTGAAGGGTTGTAGTTGTGATGTTTGAAAGATATTCATCGTTTCCATCCCCTAGTTCTCTTCTGTAAGAGGCTTAATGCTACTTAACTCAAATAATAACACATTAATACACTAATGTATGCGACAATGCTGAAAGAGGGTAGAAAAGCCAAATGAAAGTTTTCAAATTTTTTACCTAATTTTATTTCTCCTTTTAAATGCTCATTTTTTCCATGTTTACAACTCTCACATCTCCACACATTCACCATCATGTACTCGTAATGAAAGAGGGATTTATTTCAAGAAGAATAAAATCTTTGAGAGGTTCTAAAGAATGATAACAATTAACAACAAAGCATTAAACATGCCGCAAAAGTAGATGATTTTGTCACCATGTTTCTTTTACGAAATTGCTCCACTTCTTGACAAATCACTAAATAATTTAAGAAACACACATTGAACCTCTCGAAAAATAAATATCTGCAAACTTTTAATGACTTAAGCGCGTGTACCTCGAAAAATTTTCACTTTTTTCTCAGTCAGTGTATTTTAATAAAAATAAATAAGCTTGAAGTGTGCTGAAAGCAATTCACGACAACGGGCTCAGGGACGTTGGTTTTATGTTTGTTTCCTCTCCTGAGTTTTCAATGAAAAACTCTTAAAAAGCTCTTGAGCAAATGTCGTCAAAAGTCGTCAATACAGTGAAGATTAATTTAAGTGTAATTACTTTGCGTAGAAGAATTGAATTTATTTTTTAATTTTTCTTTTCAATAGTCATTTATGTGAAGCCGCTAATGACGCCTGTCGACAACAAGAGTCTTGAGAATATTAAGAACCTTCGATTTTCTGATGGAAATCGTGATCGTGACATCAAAAATCCTTTTTAAGAGTTTTTGATGAAAATTCTGAGACTGTTGCCAGGAAAGAAATCTTCGAAGGTGAAGCAATGAAATCAATGTTCATAAATAATGTGATCTTTAATCCAACTTAATCTAAATATTTTGATCATTAACGATCTGAAAAATGCCGTAAACATCAGACTGAGCTACATCAATATCATTCCTTTGAAATATCAGGAAAAAAAGAAACAAAATATCGTGCAAATGTTTCTCAGATTTGTCTAAAAAATCTTGTTATCCCACAACGGAACGATTTTGTTGCTATGTTGGCGCTGATCCAAGTCAAAGATCAAAAACGAGCACGTTGCTAGGAGAATATATAAAAAAATGATATAAAATTTCCCTCCACCAAAACATTTTTCATTCATGAAATTTTCATTTCACGAGATTGAAATGTTTTTCTTTTAATGTCTGTTTCGATTTTACGGTAAACTTTCTTGATTTTTCTTCGAGATTGCCGAAGTTTACTCCTAAAGTGATGTCACGAAGCAATTCATTTAAAAAAATCTTAAGAAGTTTGTTGGAATTTCTCAACATTATTTGTAAACAATTCCATTGAAACTTTGTAGCGTTCTCAGCTGCGGTAATCTTAAGTGCGAGAAGAGTTGAATAAAAAAAAATTCTTCTCGTTTTTGTTTTCTTAAAACTGCTAATCTCACATTAAATAAACTTTCGAAAAAGAAGTAATAATAAATCTTGTTTTTCCCCATAAATGTGTTTTAATGTCTGATCGTGTGTGATGTTGCTCAACATTTTTCATTAGAAATTCTAGGAGATGAGATCGAGGAAAACTGAGAACACATCCGTGAGAGTTGAGAGTGAGATTGACTTCCATCTCCATATTTGGTCATGAATTATGCTTCATATTTTCAGCATAAGATTAACTACGAAACACAACACATTGAAAGAAATCTTTTGTGTGACATGAGAGCATATGTAGATCTTCACAATTTATCTAAAAATATCTTCATTTGTTTATTTCTCTGCCTGAAATTTTAAAATAAATGAATAAATTGATAAGATGAATTTTTTTTAAATTTTCCTTCAATTTCGAGATGAAAATTTGTTGTGACATTTATTTAAGTTCTACCTTGATTGTATCGTTCTCTATAAATATAGTTAATACATAACAAAAGCTTGCCCTTAATCTTATAATTTGTTTTGTTCTTTGGTTGATTGATGTTAATTTTGCGATTAAAAATTTCACTTAGTCGCCATTTTGAATGTAACAAAGTTAAATGTTTCCTTTCCTGTTTTTAATAATTGCACACAAATTTTTAATGATTTTAAGTATTTTCCTTTGTCTCGAAGTCTGTTGCTTTGTTGTTGCTTTGTTTAAGGGTAAAACCGATCAAAGATGTTATCACACTTAACTTCATTCATTCAAATTCATTTCTTCGATAACTTATGATTGAATCAAAGGAAAAAAAGTTTTTATCCCTTCAGTGGGTCAATTAAAAATATTGAATGGATGATAAGAAGCTGAATAAAAATAATGAAGAGTAAAATTGTAACATCAAATGATTGATGACAATTTCGATGACATTGCGAAATAATTTAGAAGCATTTGCGGTGAACAATGCCTGGACCGGATTCGTCGTATTCTTCCTTGGAGATCCACATTTGTTGGAAGGTTGAGAGGGAAGCCAAGATTGATCCACCGATCCATACGGAGTATTTACGCTCTGGTGGGGCAATGATCTTAATCTTAATGGTAGATGGAGCCAAGGCAGTGATTTCTTTTTGCATACGATCAGCAATACCAGGGTACATGGTGGTACCACCTGACATGACTGTGTTAGCGTACAAGTCCTTACGGATATCAACGTCGCACTTCATGATTGAGTTATAGACAGTTTCGTGGATACCGCATGATTCCATACCCAAGAATGAAGGGTGGAAGAGAGATTCTGGGCAACGGAAACGTTCATTACCGATGGTGATAACTTGACCATCAGGCAATTCATATGACTTTTCGAGTGAAGTGGAAGCGGCAGCAGTGGCCATTTCTTGTTCGAAGTCCAAGGCAACATAGCACAACTTCTCCTTGATGTCACGAACGATTTCACGTTCAGCTGTTGTGACGAATGAGTAACCACGTTCGGTCAAGATCTTCATCAAGTAATCGGTCAAGTCACGACCAGCCAAATCCAAACGAAGGATGGCATGTGGGAGTGCGTAACCTTCATAGATGGGGACTGTGTGTGAAACACCATCACCTGAATCCAAAACAATACCGGTGGTACGACCTGAAGCGTACAATGAGAGAACGGCTTGGATGGCGACATACATGGCTGGTGAGTTGAATGTTTCAAACATGATTTGTGTCATCTTCTCGCGGTTAGCTTTTGGGTTCAATGGGGCTTCAGTCAAGAGAACTGGGTGTTCCTCGGGGGCGACACGCAATTCATTGTAGAATGTGTGATGCCAGATTTTTTCCATGTCATCCCAGTTTGTGATGATTCCATGTTCAATTGGGTATTTCAATGTAAGGATACCACGTTTGCTTTGAGCTTCATCTCCAACATATGAGTCTTTTTGTCCCATACCGACCATGACACCTTGGTGACGTGGGCGACCAACAATGGAGGGGAAGACAGCGCGTGGAGCGTCATCTCCAGCGAAACCGGCTTTGCACATACCGGATCCTAAACAAGAAGAAAGCAAACGTTTCGTTAACAAAAAACTGACCACACCAAATCTAACGTAACGCGAAAATTTTTTTTTTTCATTTTTATTTTTTGACATATTACGATTTTCATCCACCCACGCAATTACGCATGGAAAACAAACATTTGTAATTCTCACATTTTTCATGTTAACTAATTTGTGGAATATTTTAAACAAGAATTTCAGAGAAATTTTCTTTGCATATTGAAGTGAAAATATTTGAAATGATTGGAAAATTTTCATCATTCATTAACAGTTTGTTGTTGAACTTTCCGCTTGAATTGAATTATTTCATCATTTCTTCTATCAAACTCATTTCGTTATGATTTTATGATTTATTGAGAAATTTAATTTTCATTTCCATGAATTTTTAATAAATTATTCAAGTGAAGTTATCCATTTTGAGTTTTCATTCGCTTTGATTAAAATTCATTGAACATTTTTTTTATTTCACTTTAAAATTTCTCACATTTATGAAAATTTCACTTCAAATATTCCACAAAATATAATCCAAATTTGTATCCTAGAATTAATTATCCTTACGCACCATTGTCAACAACTAATGCAGCAACATCATCGTCACACATTTTGTAGCTTTTTATTTAATTTAGACCGATCTGCACACCACAAAATCAAAACTTGGAACTGTCTCGCTCCACTCGAAGCACACGATACTTATATACGTTACCCCCGGCTTGTACTACCGCTAATGATTCTATCTTACTCAAACTAACAAAAAACTTCTTAAAACAAATACATTCGAGCGATGATGAAGGCTTCCAATTTGAATATTCATAGACGGGTGGCTTTGATAAAAATAGACTACACATCTTTCCGAAGCCGTATAAGGAACGGCGTAGATTTTTTTCTCTTCTGATCTGTGTCTTCAAGAAGTCACACACATGTTATTCAAGAGGGAGATTTGAATGTAAGAACAGAACGACATGGATGAGATGGTGTTTGAGGGCGAAACATATGTGCAGATGTGCTAGAATAAATATTCATAGATGATCGTTTTTCGTGTGTCGACGATCAATTATGAGATGAACACATAAGTGTTGCGCATTTAACTCGGTGTTTGTTTCAAAAGAAATGTTTATTTGATCGAGACTTTAAAGGATATTCAAAATCATGTCCTGGAACCTCTGCAGATCGCAATCTTTCAAATAACATTCTGCAAAATGATCAAATTTACTTAATTATTAATTCATTTGCATCTGCATTGAGAAAAATTTACTGAAAATAATTTCCCTCGTCCAGATATGAAAAAGAAAAAATACGATCGCGTCCGAAGTTTCTTATGTCATCGCAATTCCACCGACACAAGCAAAGATTTTATTTCCCGCTAAATATTTTTAGAGCTCATTTGCCCCGATCATCTTTTGCCATATAGTGGAACGTGGGGGGAAAATCAACGTACTCATTTTTCATTCAATAACGATTCTTCCATAAAAAGGAAATTCGGAAATCAAACGATGAGAAGAATGAAATAAAATTATCCCAGCTTGAGTAATTAAATAACATGCAAATGTGTGGATGCAAACGCTTTTCAAATTACAATTAATATTCTGTTCTTTGCCAAATAAATCATAAAATGTTCACTTTTAATCCCGACAATTGTTGAACAAAAATATTTAATCATCATTATATATTTATTCGCACAAAACTCGTGAAATGTTTCATTCTGTGTTAAATCTAAGATTAATCATGATGAGATCAGAAATTTTAATGAGAATTTAATTAAAATTTCAGAGCAAGTAATTAGAAAAGTTGAATTATGAGTTAGGCTGACAAGATGATCGAAAGTGTTAAGAAACGTTAATTGTAGTTATTTAGACGAAAACAGAACTTCTGAGTTATCCTTGAAATCAATGTTGCAAACATAACATAAAAATGTTAAGAGGAAGTCATAAGTAATTTATGTACCATGCTTCATAAATATTCTCTTAAATATGTTGCGAAAAAAATATGAAAGATTCAAGCTGCAAATAAGCGAAGAGAGAAAAAATTCTTGGCACATGTGTCATGAAATTTTTCTTCACAAAATCTTGCCTTTTAAGGTATTTCGTAGAAATTTCTCTGAAACATTCGAGAGAGTCTCATAATTGTGTGAAAATTATTCTCCATGCAATATTTAAAGTCAATCGGGTGTTGCATTAAATCTTCAGTAATTCATGTAAAAAGTTTCAACAATTTATTTCTAAATTTTCTAGATAATTAGCTTAGAAAACTATGAGTAAGTAAGCGAAAAACTTAAGTGCCTATGGAACTTGAACTTTGTTATTTTTAACTTTTAGTTTCACTGCTCAAAAACGAGACGCCATGTGAGAGAAAAAAATTTGTTTAAGGAAGCTGGAGCTAAAAACTCATCGAGATGAATCATTTCGTAACACATATTGCTCGTGCATATCGTGAACTATTTGTGTGCGTGGGTGTTGCACGGAGTCATGGGAATCTCCTCAACACAAGAAAAAATATGAAATTGAATTATTGTTGGTGTTTGAGAATTTTTTTAACAATTTCCGTTGAATGTGTGGAGAAGTGAAAATGAAAAGACGCTGAAAATAATTTCAAAGTGTCGATGACGCGAGTTTTCTGCTGTTAATAAACATTTTTTCGTTTTCTCTAAAATCCATTTATCATTTTTCTTCTTATCGTGATGAAATCTCTCTAGGCAGCGTGGTTTTTGAAAGCAAATATTAGTTAACATATGATCGAATCACGTTCTGCTTCATTTGTAAGTTGCCGCAGCATCGATGGACATGGACGTTTCATTTCATTTCTTTTTTTGAGCGTTTCAAGATGTCTAAAAATATGTTTTCCTCCGTTTTCTTTACACTCGAGTTTGAGACATTTTTTAATATTTCAACTAAAGTCGTATGGCTGGCAAAAATCATTCTTCAATTTCAAGATTTTCATTATCACTTTTCGTGTCATTATTAATCATCTCACGGACATTTCGATGCAAATGGTTTGACAAATTTATTTCGTTTATTTTCTATTTGCAGAAAATCAAAAATCTTGAAACATCCTCAAAGTTAATGAATCGTTTTTAACGAGAATAATTTCAGTGAATTGTCATTCATTATTCACCTTTAAATGAAGATATTTCTAATCTTTAATAGCTGTACGTAAGTAAATATCTAAATTTAATGCATTTAAATTATCATGATGACAACACCACATAAACAATACAAAGTCATTGGGTTTCAAGAGTTTCAAAGTCTTGAAATGAAAGTGAAAATCAAAATACTAAATAAATGTCCCATGCCACAAATTTTAAATGAAAGACTTCTTGATGGGGGGAATTTTAAAGTTTCTTTAGTTTAAAATGAACGGAAAACTCAACGAGACGACGTTAGTTTGATACTATTATTAATTTCGATCTAACTTCGAGTTCGAAGACCCCTTCTGATTGTTTACATGTCATAATACTTAAAGAAGAACAGAAAATTATCGTCTGAACAGCAAAAATATTTTCTTTCAGCAAAAATTTAATAAATCTAATAAAATTTACACATCAAAGAATTGAAGATATTGAGGGTGGAAAGGATAATCGAGATTTGTTTGGTGAGTGTGGGAAATTAATAATCCAATGAAAGTTTTATTTCCATTGACCAGATTTCAATTTGACATCCTTTCAAATTTATTCTCAATTAGCTGTCTAATCAAGCAATGTGTACATAGTCAGCCTTTTCACTGCTTTTATTATCAACAAATCTCCAGAGAATTTCATTCCTTCCTTCCTTTGATACATTTTGCGGTAAACTAAATATTTCGGACAAATATTTACTCAAATTTAGTTTCATGGAATTTTTATTTGATTTGAGAGCAAAACGAGAAATTATTATTTTCTGACAGTTTTATTACCTTTTTTCTGAGTTATGTTGAGGGTGTTTCGTTTCATGTGTGAAAATAAAAGGGTTAGATTAAGTTCAGAGTAGTAATTATCTGTTCGAGTGCATATGAGAGAATAATGAACATAAACTGAATAATCAACAAAGTTTCTTAAAGTTAATTTAATATCATTTACTTCAATGAAGCTGATTCATGATTATTTCAGAATTATTAAAATTATTTAAACAGTTTCTTAGATGATGTGATGTTTTTGTTCAATGTTAGCTCATCGTGCACATTTATAAGTGTGGAAAAGAATAAATAAGAGAATTGAAGGTAAATATTTAGATCAACAATATTGAATTCATATTGAAACAAATGACGAGCATTAAAGAACAACAAGCGCAAAAGTAAAAGAACTTTTTAATCAATTGTTACTAAAAGATGAATTCAAATGTACACAATAACATACGTCAGTTGACACAATTGTTTTGCGCCTGAAATATTTCAATGTCAGTGTCTGCAGTGTTTATTGATCATTGCTGAATATTCAACGTTGTTCTAAACAAAATTGAAGATGACTTTTGAAGTTTAATTGTTTAAGAATAAAAATCAAAAATTCTTTAGTTTGCAAAATTACTACCAAATTTATTTCGATAACTTTTAAATAGTTTCAAAGTTACCGTGAGCAAACACGTTGGCATTCAGCTTCGGTTTCGAATCTATTATCGTTTCCTTCACAGCCACCATAGTCGAACATTTCACATGCATTTCCGTTGTAATACCAACTGGGGAATACAGCATCGCATGGGCCAATATCTTTGGGTAGCGAGCATACTGTTAGATAATTTTTGTAATAAGAAAGTTTTATTAAATTAAGTTCCAAAATATTTTATTCTAATAAAAATAAATTACCATCCACGAGCACACATCTTGGAGAAGCACTGCAAACTATACAAAATNTGATGTGATGTTTTTGTTCAATGTTAGCTCATCGTGCACATTTATAAGTGTGGAAAAGAATAAATAAGAGAATTGAAGGTAAATAGATCAACAATATTGAATT